TTCTTTTATTATAATTATTATGATATTTTGCTGGTTATTTCAGAGTGAAGACAGCAAGGATGATAATCTACATAGGCAGGGATCGTTCAGAAAGCTTGTGCCAGGAAGCAGTAGTGGAGATTCTCCATTAGGCATGTCTGTGAAGATGATAGATAGGCCGATTGTGTCACAAACCAACAAGCAACACGCCATTTTCTTGCAAGAATACAATATTCTTTCCGAGTAGTAAGTTTCAAAATACTCAGATGCGAAAAGACAATTGATTTATATATGTAATTTTTCAGCAAGATGTTGTGTTCCCAAGACTTGAAGGGAATCTATGTGATACCATCTTCTATAAACTCTTTTCGTAAGTATCATCAAAAGTTTACAAGTTGCGTTCAATGCATTCACAAAATTTTAGCATGCGATATCCTGTGATAAATCTAGTTTGTGATATCAATTTGATACAATTTGATACTAGAATGATTAACTCCATTTTGTATGGAGTATTTACTCCAACTTGCATGGAGGAATGAATATCCTTCATTTTTATTCGTTCATTTCTTCATCTTGAGATGTTAGTGTGTTTTTGATAGGTATAAACCTATTTTATAGGTCTTGCTCATCCCGATTACGACTTGTATAATGGTTCTGATGTAAATATCCACATCTCTTGCCTGTTTCACTTTAACATTGTTAAAGTAGTAGTCTACTACTAGTTAAAAAGATTCTAATCCATATTTATTTTCGCATTTTGTCTCAGTGTGGTTTGGCGTACAGTTTATTCGACAAGGAATCTACAAAGGTGGAGTTTTTAGGTTCACTATTACACTGCCTCCGAATTTCCCAGCTGGAGATTGCCCTGTAAGAAAACTAACTCGCACGATAATCAATTTTATGTATAGCTTTTCCATATATTTCAAATATGTTTTAGAAAGTTGTGTTTGAAACTCAAATCTTTCATCCACTGATAAATCCAGAAAATGGAGACCTGTGCACGACCTGGGGATTTCCTGAGTGGAAGAGAAACAATAGAATTTGGCAATTATTACAATATATCACTAAGATATTTATTAAATTAGACATGAAAATGACTCGAGTGAATGAGGAGGCATCTAATTTGTAAGTTCTTTATGTATCTCATGTAAATGATCTTTAAAAAGAAGAATGTATTGTTTGGAACATCTGTGTGTTTGAATTAATTGGTAACGTTATGTTACAGGCAAGAAAATGATTTTGAAGCTTTCCGAGAACGCGTGAAAGCGTGCGTGAAGCAAAGCGTGAATCAGGTGTTTAATCCACCTACTACTATGGATGATCCACATTATATTACATTTAGCCAATATGTAAATGAGATACACGATCCCGTTAGACAAGAAATTTATGATCCAAAAGTAAATAAACATCTTGAATAATATCACTCATTAAAAATGAAATATATTAAATTTACAAGTCAATCATCATTTATTATACTTTTCAGGAGGAAGAAGAAAATAAGCCATTGGGTTTGTCGTGGGTGCAACCGGGCTCGTTTCAACCATTTTCAAAGCCGGAGGCAAGATAATGAAAGAATTCTAAATGCAATAGTGAAAATAATGACATACGTCCTTAAGAGTTATACGAAGAAATCAATTCTCTCTTAGCAATCGCACGAGTGATAAAATCACAAAACTTCTCGAAAAAGCTATTTTTCATTCAGAGAATATATGCGTCTTAAACATTTTAATGAATCTGTATGTGCTAAAGGAGAATGACTAAAACAATTGAATATATATATATATATATATATATATATATATATAATACTTTTATATTTAAATTAAGACAAGTTATTAACGTAATTGTTGTTCAAAAATATGGAAAGTTTTTATTATACTAGAATTTTTTATTTTTTATTAATATATATCAGTGGAGTGTCTGAATTATTTTCTATCGATTATGATGAATCCGTTGTGCAAATAATATATGCGTTTTCTAAAACGTTATTATATTTTCTAAACGTAATTAATGTTGAGATTAAAATAGAAAGACTGAAAGTGTAAGAAGAACAATACTTAAAATAATTGACAGGGTACTCATTAGAAGCAGTCATTTCTGACCATTTCTATTTTAATATCATTTTATACTAATAAAGATATAATTTTGAAATTTACTAATATTTTATTAATTATTCTGTTTATAAAATGGTTTCTGTTATTAGAAAAAATATTAATTTAAAAAAATAGAAATGATTAGAAATGACCATTTGGTATTTTTAATATTTTTAATATTTTTTAAAGACCTTATATAAGTTCGTGTAATTTATGAAATCTAGACGCTTGCTTTATAATAATTAATTTTATGATTTAGTTTTATCCTGGTGTATTTCATAGAGATATATATATATATATATATATATCTGTATTATTTGATAATATTCAATAATATTCAATTTTTATATTAAAAATCTATTTTTAACATTATTATATATAATTAATTATTTATAATTGGCAAAAATAATAAGTGGAAAAAACAAATGTAATTTCTACATATGACGGTGGCATTATATGCATATAATATGTTATTGCATTGTAAACTGCATGCTTTTTTATAAAATATCTGTATAATAATAAATAATCATTAATTTTTCTAATTTACTAATTAGAAGCAAATTGTTTAGATATTTATGTAAATTTTACAACAATTTGATAACATCACGAGATATTGTTAAAAATGGCTATGGGAAAATTTTCGACCATCTTTAACACTACCTCGTCGGTATAATCGGTAATCTTGAATTATTTTCTAACATTCCATCGACGATCATAAAAATTTACTCAGGCCCGATGATCTTTGATAATAGTTTGTTCATGATTAAAATTTCCATGGCGAAGACATTATCTCCTTTCTGTCTTAACGTTAGTATTCGATGGCCAATGGCTGCCACCTCATCGTGATGTTGTGGATCTTGTGTCAGCGCGAAGGTTTTCTTTGGTAATACCGGAGACTCCTTCTTACAGGACTATTATCAGAAATAACGAGCAGAATGATCCGGAGTAATGTGATAGCCCTGCTGGCGATTCTCCTGGTCGCCCAGGTTCATGGCATCATGTTTTATCTGGAACCGAACGGTCACAAGTGTCTGAAGGAGGAGGTCCATGCTAACGTACTCGTTACAGGCGAGTACGAGGTGTCCGAGGCGATGGGCCAAAAAACGAATTATGTGGTGCGTGGATCTTGATCAACGACTTTTCATTCATCCTATGTCGTAATACTCCTACGAGAGAGCGTTACATAACCTATGAATCTCATGCGGCGCGATAACAGCTGTCATCGAATCAGACCGTCCGCTCGTTTTCTTAAATCGTGATAAATTCAGTGACCTTGTTTCTTACAGATCCAGGACTCTAAGGGGCATATATTATCACAGAAGGAGGATATTCCCCATGGAAAGCCATTGAAGTTCTCTTTTGTGACTGAGACCTTCGACACCTTCGAGATATGTTTCATTTCGCGCGTTCCAAGTCGTACGTGCACTTTTTTTCTATTTAATTGATTTGTCAAATTGTTATGACAACAAATGAAATATCAATATAAGATATAAGATAAAGAATTGGTTTAATAACACTCAAAATTATTTCAGATCAGCGTGGTGTCAGGCAAGAAGTTATGCTGGTCACGAAACGCGGCATTGAAGCAAAAAGTTACGAAGGCGTAAGTCCATGTATCGTTATCTATGTATCGTTATTTACATTTTTTTAGAATAATTGTTTAATCCTATCCTATTCTGGGATCGAGAAAAACCATCTGACATTACTTTGTTTACTTTCTCTTTTATATGTGGCTTGTTTCCACGGTGCAGTTGGTAAAGTAGAGTTCTTCGATATTGTGTTCTCATTGGCATGTGTTTTATCACAATCTGACATTTGTGCATTCATTGTCAGCATTTAGAACTGGACTATTAGAGCATAACGCAATTTTATTAATTGCAGCATGGTTTTCTATCATGGATGTTCCATTAACAGAATCAATTGTTTGAATTATTTCGTCCATGCGAACATATCAGTTATCCAACTATAAAATTGCTTATATATTTTATGATTTGAATTTATTATTATTTAATGTTAATAGCAAATTTTTTTCAGTGAAAAGCAATTCGTTAGATTTCTTAAAAATATGTTAACGGTACATCCATATACACAGAGAGCAGTAATAATATTCTAATACCAAATGTTTCAGTTCTGTGACTTCTCAGTGTTAAAAATATGGAATATTAAGCTAATCTAATCTAATTACGTAACAGAGATCTTGAGATGATGTTCTTGAGATTAAGATATTTTTTCTGCTACATACAGAATGCCTTTCTATTTCCAAAAGATTTTGAGTAAATCTAGACTGAAATACTTGATATTAGTATTAAGTGTATTTTTGAGCGAAAATTTATGCAATTTTTATTTACATTCATACATACAAAATTTTTAAAGAGAAAATAATACTTCACATAATTAATTGACTTAATTATTCAATCGCTCAGAAATTAGAAGAGCTGCTACAAATTGTATCACATTGCTTTATATTATATTTTTTTTGTCCTGTGCAAAATACATACACAGAGAAATTATTCATTATTTAGTTTTAATTTTATAATAATGTATTCTTTGTCATTAATTTGTATCGATCATGTGCAATACTAACAACAAAGCTAAAGTTTCTATAAGAAAATCATTGGTCTAGTGAAAATCAATATCTTATTTTCGTTGACAGATTGGCGAAGCAGCCAAATTAAAACCAGTGGAAGTTGAATTGAAACGATTAGAAGACTTGTCTGAGGCAATAGTACAAGACTTCGCTAGAATGCGCAAGAATGAAGAAGAAATGAGAGACACAAACGGTAAGGAAAACTTAAATATTATAATAATTAAATCGATAATTATGTATTTATAATTGTAGAATGTTTGATAATATTGATGATTGCTAATGATTCGGACATTTTTTTGTTACAGAGGCCACAAACACTCGAGTATTGTACTTCAGTATATTCTCGATATGTGTCCTTTTCAGTTTGTCCGCCTGGCAACTCTTTTATTTCCGGCGTTTCTTCAGAATGAAAAAACTCATAGAATAATTGCATTTGTGTAATACAAATGTAACAAATATAGTTATTTTCTGAATTATCTTTGTTATCTGTAACCTCATATCTGGATCATCGAATACTTTTTATATTTGCCGCAATATTTGAGAAGTACTGTTTAAAAGAATATTCGAGAAAAAGCATTAATCATATTAAGTCATTCGAATGTAAAATATAGTGAGACCTCGTCTCGTTCCATATTGCGCATACATCACGAGAACCATATTTAAGATTGTAAGAAAGATAGAAGATTTCTTAAATAAAAATATACTTATAAAATAGATCTTCAAAGTTTCATTATTACTTAATTTTTTGTTCTATTAATTTTATTATTTAAAAAATAATTTATTCGTTTATATGAATATTATATATTCATTTGTATTTTAATATTAAGATATCTAATGTCTTTTTTATACATACACAAAAACTGATGTATCTTTTATCTAATACATGATTTTATAATATGTTTTTATATGAAATGAAAAATGCGTTATTGTTTCAATATTTTATTTATAAAATAGAACAACTTTGTGGGAACACACAATAAATGGCCTAAAAAAATAATGAGGAAACATCATATTGGAAGACGATTTATTTGTCACTGATTCATAGGCAAATGCCTTGAGGATTGTTTCTTTGTGGTTCAAATAGCTATTCGCTCATCGTACGTTCCTGAAGAAGCAACATCAAATAGTATGTCTGCCTTGCACGCGAATAAATATTTAACATTATGTAATGTAAATATTCTTACGCTTTCTCTCTTAGTGCCAGAAATTTAATTTAGCGTACATAGAATGAGCATAAATATTTAAAGTGTCATGTACTTTATAATTTTACCACGGCTTCTTTTCTAAAACGAGACATTTAATATTTATGCGTATTAAATATACGTCACGATTAATCGACCTAATAAATATTTGTACATCCTAACATATTCCTAATATTCGTCTTTCAGCAATTCAATATAAGATAATAAAATATATCTAAAACTCGAACTAAATAACTTTTTATCACAAGGTGAACAATTAAGCAATTAAAAAAAAATAAAATTTCACATAAATGACATACTAAATACACAAGAAAGAATCATAAGCTTATAGCAATAAGATTACATACTGCGTCCATCAGAATATCTCGACATTTATAATTATCCTTTTAATGCAACAATTATTGTAGGAGACATTAATCGGTCATTAAGTCGCGATAGAGAGAATTTGTATTCATCGTCGACATATTTGTTTCTATTTATTATGTAACATTTATTTATTATCGCAACAAAGTTAGGACTCGATCCATCACTGCCATTACTCTCATCACTTTTAATCACTATGGTTTATAGTTCCGCGATAATATCTCTGATAAAAACTGAAAGAATTTGTATAGATTCGTGGCTATATATTTCCCAAATGGACATTATATAACAATAAATTAATTTTTAAGAAACCACATAGTGTTTCTTGATTGCCATTTGTTAAAATTAGAACGGGAATTTAAAAAAATTCAGAATAATGAAAATTTAATAATAATGTCAATCGTCATAAATTAAAAATTAATAATTTTACAATATAAGTTTTTATTTTTTCTAATTTTTATATTAACTTATTCTCGATTTTTCATTAATTCATTTACATAACACCGTCTAAACTACTGATTACCTGAGATTAAAAAGTTCAACTAACAACAGAATCAAGAATTCTCTGACAATTTTTGTTTTCTCATTTTTGTACACATAGTTCTGTTAGATCACTTTGTTTACATGTAGTAACAACAAGGATAAAAATATTTATATATATATATATATTCTCGAACAATATCGTTGTCCTTTCTAAGAATTTTTCGACAAATGTGGCCATTAATTTCTCCATAAAAATACTCTATCATCTGAAACAGTTTTCTAATTTTCAATATTAGGCATCTCGGCACTTAGGCGCACTAAGTGTGTTAAAAATCTCTCTTTCTATCAAAGTAAAAATCTGAAAGTGCTACGAAAAGTGGATGCGTTTTACGTCATAGTATTCGATTACTTTGTCAGGATCTCTATTAATTCATTAACTCCGAAAATGTTGAATATATATATCCTCTTCTGGTGAGTGCACACGTGACTCGGAAACGCGCCGTATTCGCGGAAGATAAATTAAGTCCCGACTGGACTACGATAATGAATCACGGGAGTATTGTCGAAATCGGAACGGAAATTGGAACTCGTTCCAAGTGCGGAAGTTTCGTACGATCCACTCGGGAGATTTATCCGTCGCTGCAGATTACTGCGACTGTCTTGCGGATTGTCAAGCCTTCGCTTTCTGACGTCTCAGATCGTTGGGTATCAGGATCGTGAGCAGGACGCCGAGCGCGAGGATGCCGCATAGTGTGACGTTTGCCCACATATCCTCCCATATATTAAGCAAGTGACGATAGAGCGAGGTGAGGGCGATGCCGAAGATCTGCACGACTGCGTTCAGCAGACCTGTCGACGTTCCTTCCGGCTCCGGGAATGTCAGCTCCGCGGCGAGCTCAAAACCGACTGGCAGATAGCCGGTCATGAAGAAGCTGCAAAGTACGTGCATAATATGAAATAATACGTAAGAAATATACATATAAATTTTCGACATAATCTCAAGCCAAGGACGACCGTTATTCTTCTTTCAGAGACATTAACAATGCGAATTTTTGAAGAAGAAATAACGGATTTTAACGACAGTGATCTTCAAATTCGGTCAAAGTGTGGTAAATCAATAAAATACTACTAAGTTTTATGATGAAAATAATTCCTGAACCTTACCCCAGGAGGCCAGCCGTGATGTAGACAACGAATATTCCTAAGTTTTTGTCCAGTGTGAAGGAGAAGATTATCATACCCACCAAAGAACATATGTATACTCCTACTGTCGTCCACCTGTAAATTCGCGTTTCCTCTGTTGCTTTAATCGCATTTATTTGCGTCCATCAAATAAATCGCGATAAACTTGATATAATACAGTTTAATAAAATATTTGGCATGAACCAAATGTCGGATTTATTGAGTGAAAAAAATCAAATCAGTTGAAGTTGATAGCATCGTTGAAGATCAATATTGAGCCAGAAACTAATAAATTTCGTAAAATAGCATTTGATCGCTCACCAGAATTTGTGTGTTTTGTCTAGTAAAATGCCACATACGATGGAACCCACCATCCCGGCGCAAACTATTGTCAAACCGATTCGACCAGCATCTTTTTCACTTTTCTAGAAAGAAGATAATCGCTGTCCGTTAATTCTTACTAAGCAAATGCATGGAAAAATTTGAATAAGATTGATAGCGTATTCTATAATTTTTTCCGACCTCATATAAGAGAAAGCACAAATTTTTGCGACAGATTTCTTACATAAATATAAAATTCATAATTATTAAAAAAAGAGTCGGGAAAGAGAAAGAGGAGTAGTTCTTCGAATGAAGTATACTTACCGGGAATTGTTCGGTAACGAGTCGATTCAGGAGGGTGCTTATAGCGTAAAAGACACCGACGTTGATACCGTAGCTGAGTAAAAGTAACAGATAGCCGCGATTGAGGCACAAGCTTTTGATGGAAGTGAGAAATTTCGTCTTCACCTGTCCTTCGCTCTCGTTCGTCTTTTTTTGCTCGATTTGAGCGGAACTAGGTGGTAAAGGTGGCGCCGACTTGAAGACTAAAAATTACCGATTTTTAGAATAAGAGAACAGAAGATCCCATATCCTGTTTGACGATAAAATCTCGGAACTGATTAAGTAAATCTCAATCTTGTAAAACTAAATACATATACTTTCCTTAATAGTGTACTAATAGAAAAAAATCAAAGAAGTTTATTTTATTACATAATATAAATTATATCTTCATCTCTATATTATATTATTTAAAACCCCTTCAGCTTCGGGACCTTACCGTCGGATTGCGTAACTGTATAAGGTAAAAATATACATACGGAATAATATGAGGATTAGTATGAGCGATGTGAAAGCCGCGACGATATAAAACATAAGTTGAAGTCCCTTCTCGACGTCGCAGGAGTTCTCGCTGTTCGGCACTAACATCGGCGGGAATAAGAAACCGATAGCTATACCCAGCTGAAACAGAAATCCAAATGACGAATATCCTGAGATATCCTGAGAAATCATCGTCGAGTCTCAGAAAGAGATGTTTGCCATGTAAATTCATCTTTCTCAGTTACATGTGACAGTGCCTGTCTTGAGAATGGGACCATTGTATGCTCATCAAATAAATTAATATTATTCATCTTTACCAATTGTTATCAAAACGAAACATTTTCACTTTTAACTGTTAAAACATGCAACTTTCATATATGGATCGGTTCAAACGCCTTTTCGATATTACACTCGTAGAAAAAAGTAATATATATATATA